GCTCGATTTTTCGAGAAATTACTTATTATCCCGCATTATCCATGTCATCAGATGCATTTGTTCGTTGAAAAAAAAAGCGTATTCAATGGATTTTGTAGAGTGAGCAGCATCTGCAACCTATTCTGACAGTGATTTGATATTGTCGTGAAATAAATCGAAATGAAAGTAACTTTACAATAAATGAATAATTTGTTTGCAACTACTAAATGAACAAATTAAGGCTTCTACGGTCGCCCGTGGAGTGCGGATCAGCGGAAAGATTTGTTCAGTCGAATGTGTCATCTGGGTATGAATACATATTTGTATGCACCGAAAGACGATTTGAAGCATCGAGCTGAATGGCGATTACTGTACACATCTGAGGAAATGGGTTAGTGAGTTAGGTGTTGATGGTGTTGTTTCACTGATTGTTTCTTGATCAGATCTGCTTCATTCGCTGATTGTGTCTGCGAAACAGCAACGTATCACGTTCGTCTACTCTTTGTCACCTGGCATTGATATCGTTTACTCTAGTGAGAAAGACGTCAAGTCAATTCAAGAAAAACTTGATCAGGTTTTTTCTTTATTATTATTGCTTTATTATTATGTTAAAATTATTTTTTATTATTAATTATTATTGTTTTTGTTATTGTTGTTGTTATTTATTATTATTATTGTTATGTTGTTGTTATTTATTATTATTATTGTTATGTTGTTGTTATTTATTATTATTATTATTTTTTAAATTTATTATATTAGTATTATTAATAATACAACGTTCAGGTACGGATGTTAGGCTGTGATGCGTTTGCATTATTATTTGATGATATTGAAGCGGCAATGAATGAGCAGGATAAAAAGAAATTTTCCTGTTTCGTTTCGGCTCAGTTAATGCTCGCGAACAATGTGTATGAGCACCTGAAATGTGCACAGTTTTATTTTTGCCCTACAGGTTGATGATACTTGTTATTATTATTATTGTTTGTGAATGATTGTTGTTTATTTGTCACATGCGTACAAACATTATGAGACATTTTAGAATATTGTGAATCACGTGCAACACCAACGTTAGAAGAGTCCGATTATCTTTTATTGCTTGGCAAGAAGTTACTTCCGAATATTCACATTATGTGGACTGGTGAATATTATTCATCTATAGTTTATATTATATCCCAGTATCTTTTTAATTTTTGTGCATTTCTTGAATTTTCGACCATAAGTGCTCACAGTTTTGTGGACTTTCTTGGAATTTAGTAAGAGTGCTCAGATGGCAAAATGAACTTCAAAAAATTTTCAAAAAGAGTCTGACAACGTGTAACATTTAACCGGAAGTTGATCTATCAGCTCAGAAAAACAGATGAGCGTAAAGCAATAATGATAAAGAATATTGAATTATCAATGATGAATGATTAAAGGTCCGCGAGTGGTATCACGTTATATAACCGTTGAACATGTACGTCGAGTAGCACAAGTGCTGAAACGAAAACCTTTAATCTGGGATAATCTTCATGCAAATGATTACGATCCGAAGAGGGTCTTTCTGGGTCCGTTTGCTGGACGGTAAGATCTGCTTTTGTATCAGTTTGAATTCTGCCTAAATCGAATTAATTAGTGAACAGTTCTGAAGGATATTCATTTCTCGGACCGTGCACATTGCATACGTCGAAGACTGATTCTGATCCTAAGCCTGAGCTTTCCCTGTCGTTAACAACTACAAAAAGCATAGATCTAAGAATTGTTCAAGCCTAGTTTAGGTGTTTGTGAACATGAGTGAAACTATAAACCGAGGCCAGACTCGTTTATCTCGGAGGCGAAAGTTTAACCAGGCACCAAAGTTTATCTCAGGTTTAAGTTGAGGCTTGTAACGTCGCCATCTTTCGTAAACACTTCAGCTATAACATTGCCCATTGATGTTAAAGCGGGACTTTATCGCAGATTTCTATTTATATTCACTGAAAATGTTATGTAACACCTTCAGTTGTAGTTTATGAAAAGTGAATATAATATTTTGTAGGTCGCATTTGTAAGCATTTGCTTAGTAGTCAAGATTGAAGGTTTCACTCAAATTCGATTGTAGAAATTAGGATTAAGGTAATAAGGCTTGAGAGGAACTTGACATTACTTCTTTTGCAGACGTTGAGATGTTATTTTTGTTGTCGTCTTTTGAAAGGATTTTGATGTGGAGTAGGTTGAAATGTGTTGAGTGGTAATTTATTATGAGTTGAGTGTTGTTGTTCGATTAAAGATCGGTGAAACTAAAAGACGAAGTATCTGGAATATTGTTGAATCCAAATTGTCGTTATGAGGCAAATTTTTTACCGTTTCATACGATGGCAGAATGGAACAGTTGTCATGCTGATGCGGATCTCGAAGAGGGTATTTGATTTGATTATACGTTCGGCTTTGAATCTCATTCGTTCTCTGCTTATTTGTCGTACGTAACAAACAAATGTATATTTTGATTTCTATTATAAAAACGAATAGTATTCAAGAATCAGATGCAGTATTAGAAGCTGGTGATGTGGTTCCCGTAGCGAGACATATAATTGAGAGCGCATCACCAAGACGTCTGTATCACCCGTTGAAAGCGCTTCATGAAGCACTTCGAAAATGGATGGATCACTTTTTTGAAGTGGTTAATCCGTGTGCCTCATTGTAAGTTTTTAGTATGTTCAACTTGTGTTATGCTTATCGTTATTTTTGTCCTATTTGATGAAACACTACTTAATTTGTTTATTCCATTTTTAATCAATACACTTGAAATTTAGTTCTTTAATGAGATTGTGATCATTGATTTAGCTCGGTAAATGACATGGAGTCATCACAAATCAATCTAACTGCCACAAAACCGACCACAACTGAGATATGTGAGTCAGTATCATTTTCATCGTCATCTGAGTCGTCGTGCCCAGCAACGAATAAATCCTCAATACGGAATAAGAGTAATGCAGTCAACGACTCATCGCTAATCGATGACGTACAACACTCTGCCTGCACATCCTCTTCTATCGTTGATTCTGATTACACGCTAATTGTACGTTTGTTCATTTACCCTTCTTTTACAACTCATCGAATAAAGTAAATTCTGTTCTTATAGCAGTCATCTTCATCAGAAACTGTGCAAAACAACTCGTTAGCGACTGAGTATTGCGAACCAATGGAACTCGCATCAATAGTCAAGGTTTATCTAATTCATTTATGTAGATGACTTATTTAGTTTATTCGTTAGACGATCAACGTTTTCACGGCTGTTCTTTTGTCCAATAATACTGTAATTTCAACTGTTACCACTCGTTTTCCAATTAATTGCAGGAAGAATCAAAAGGTTCTGTCGAAATGACAGATGTAAATAAGTCGACAACTCAAGAAATATCTTCAGATGTTAGTATGGAAAGTAGTGTTCTGTCGGAGAACGAACCAAGGTGACGTTTATATCATATGTTGTATTACATATATGTAAAATGCAACCTTGCAGTTCTTCATCCATCGACATCGAGCAAGTTGCAACTTTAGTGGATATGTTCTATTTGCCTTTCGAACATGGAAGACGTGGCATGGAAATGTTACAAGAATTTTCATGGTTACATGAAAATTCATTTGTCGTTAGAAAAAGGAGAGAAGACGATGCTTATGATAACAAACATGATGAGGTATTATTAGTATTAATGTTGTTATTCTGAATAAAATGATCTCTCTTAAAGAAACTGCAAGAAATAGTTAGCAGTGAATGGAGACGGCGAAGTGAACAGTTTATCAAGAATTTGCATGGTATCACTAAACTTCATCAGTTTATCATAGCTTTACCAAATAAGGTTAGTTCTTTCTTCTTGTTGATGTGTTTATGCATGAGAATATGGTAAACTCGGAGCAAGACTGAGCGTGCGCTCGGCGCAAAACTCAAACTGATGTTAATGTATAGCTCCGTCACTCCCTGTAGATACGTTAACTATAAGATTACTAATCATATCACGTCATCTATCTCCCTAATCGGTTGATTTTTCTGGAACGGTCCCGATTTCAGAGTGCATATTACGAAATTCAGAAAGTAAACTTTAACGGAATTCATATTGTAAAGTCCGTCAATAGCCTGATCCAGAATCTGCATCTAGACAAGCCCTAAACGCCAGCGGAGATGTAGCAGAATGCGATGTTTTAAAGTAGCACTGTTTAGTGCCATTGGTTATACAATAAGCATTTCACTCGCTTGAAGTTATAGAGTGTTGTTCACGAACTCTTCCAATATGTTTATGATGCACAATGCGTCACTTCAGTCCTGGAAGGATTGGTGTTATGGATGGCTGAAGGTGAATTAAATATATCACCCACTGGTTAGTATTATTACCGTTTAGCATCAGTTTCTGTTTTATCATTATTATTATTATTGTTATTATTATTATATTATTATTATTATTATTCTATTATTATTATCATTTTTATTAGATGTAAACGGTTGAAAATAATGAATATGCTGATGTTATATGTTGAG